ATGTACCATTTAGCGAAACAAGAAACGCTGTCGATAAATTTATTTAGTCTATGACTTCTCGGGTTCACGGAACGTACACAGAGGACACTGCTACGATAGTATAAATACCGAGGCACGACCGCAGTCTGCCTCCTCTTTTCTCGCTCTACAACAACTACCGATAAATCAATTACAAACGTATTACCAATTTTCCTCTCTGCTACCTCAAGATATTATCCATCATTGATTAATTAGTTAGTTAAAAGTTGAAGTTAAAATTACAGCCTATAGACGTCCCACAGCTGGGCACAGGCCTACTCTCACTTCTAAGAGGGTTTAAGAGCAAGGAAGTGTCCGCCGCGCTACTCCAATGCATACTTCACATGTCTTCGACATATTTTTGTATTATAGTCCACTACTAAACATAGGCCTATTCCATAGATTGCCTCGTAGGTGGAATATTTTTCTTTCCTCTCTTAACGCAAGCAAGAAAGCAAGTGGTGGCCAATCCACTTGCTTTCTTGCTTGCGTTAAGAGAAGAAAGAAAAATATTCCCCCTACGAGGCAATCTATGGAATAGGCCTATGTTTAGTAGTGGACTTTTAATAGGCTGTAATTAAATATTAACCACGTGTTCGACGGTGAAGGAAAACATCGTGAGGAGACTTGCATGTCATGAGAAAAAAATATGTCGAAGACATGTGAAGTATGCATTGGGGTAGCGCGGCGGATACTTCCATATTCAAGTGATGGTATGGAATCTTAAAGCTTCTAAGTACCTATGAGGTAGTGGCTTCTCTTACGCTGTCGGTTCACGGTATTTTTTATCATTTCTTATCAAGATTCTGCCTTCACTTCAAGATTTCGAAATATTTTCAACCAAGCAGACATATTTTTATTGATGGTTTTATTTTCCGCTAATCAACATAATATAGAATTGTAACTACAAATAGAATCCAACTCGCTTAGTATTCATACCTCACTAACTAAGGTACGTGAGGGTAATATGGTCACCTTAAGCTTTGCCGCCGTATAAAACCAAAACTAGGATGAGTACAGAGATAAAAACACAAAGTCGTATACTATTACTAATATATTAAGAACAAATAGCAAACAAGCTTTGAAAATGATTAGGAACACTTCAAAAAATCAAGTTAAAAAAACTTACTACACTACACAGTACTAAAATCGACTAAAATGTTTATAATAATGTCAACTGTCAAAATGGCGTCGATAAAGCAGCGCCCTTTTGACCCTTTATTATTTGATGGACTGATGAAGACCTATCGTATTACAGAGTATTCTATGCAAACAAGGCTGTAGTTTTTGAGTTATAAGAAAGTGACCATATTAACCGGATGGCCATATTACCCTCACGTACTATATTAGTTTTTAAAATCTGCGATACGAATATTTGCAATCATCAACATTTGATTTCGAAAACAATTTACTTAATAGCTCGAATAATAAGTCTAGTCCTATTTTGTTTATATTTTTAAACAAATAATAAAGTAATAAATAAAAACAAAAACGAATATATTGATGTCGATTGTTGCTCACATAGGAACGAAATAGTGATATAGATTAAAGACGTCATGTCTTGTGAAAAAACGTCACATATAATACTTCTACAATAGGGATGCCATTTATCTAGTAAACTAGCTAGTACTAGAAGAAACTATTGTGGAAATACCGTTTTATATTTGGAAGAGTTACCTATAGATATAGTTTAGTTAGGAATGATAATACATTGATTGAAGTCGAGTGATACTTTATTGAACTTTCAAATAAATTTGTCAGTACGACACGCGCGCCACCTACTGTAAGTTAATTGTACTATGCCTATAACCTTAGCGCAAGTGTAAGCAATAAGTTGACAAAGTTTTACCGCAATCTGATGAACGGTATGGCAGCGATAAAATACGAATAATTAAAAATTATTTTTTTATATTAGATAAGAAAATATGAGGGTACTTACTCTCATCTTTGGCATAGTATAAAAATACCAAAGATGACCACTTGTCATTGAAGCTCTTGCCATGTGAAAGAAGTTTAATAGAAAAAGCGTGCAAAGTATATGGACTGCATTTATATAGAATTGTAGGTACCCTCTATGCATACATATGTATGAAATTACTCTGAGTTATAATCAAAAAATGTCGCTACAAACACACGATGCGCTCCATGAAGGCTCCAATAAGGATCATGTCTGTAGAGAGAGCAGCCCTCATCACTTGTGGACCGACAGCGTCATTAACTCTTAGCGTAAACTCTCTACGAATTGGAGGTGGCAGGGTGCCTCCCATTGCATTCAATACTCTAGTTCTTCCAGCTACATCTAAAGGTTTACCTTCAGCACTATTACCAAGTATTCTACGCACACACAGAGATCTGCACGCTTCTTTCTCGGCTTCGAAGAGTTCCCGAGCTGCTATTTCGAAAGTACGTCTCTTATCAACACCACTGACGTTCGAACTATTTCCTGGAACGCCTTCTTCGATGGCTCTTAATGCTCCTGCTTTAAGTATAGCAGGCAGTAGAAGCTCAGCAACCGCTCCTACCGTACGAGAGCATAAAAAGTGTAAAACCTGTTCTGCTTCACGCGTCTCATCGAAGAGACGTCGTTGTCTTGCAGCTGGGACTGGTCGAGCTACATTCCAAGCTTCAACCCACGGGTTTCCAGGCAACAACATACGATCACCTAAAGACCCTCCATCGTCTGGTTTCCAGTCTCGAGGAGAGTACCAATGCACAAAATCGCATAGCTCTGCCCCAGGGTTCGCTGCTTTAAATGCTTCCATGTCGGATAATAATGAAGCACTCATCATTCTCGCACGAAGCTCCGACGCCTTTGCATCGTCACCCAGTCGAACCATGAGCTCAGCATCCTCTTCCAACTGATCTTCAGTTTTTGGCGCCGGATCCTAAGTTTATAAAAAATACACTAAACTGATTGTTTTATAATTTTGTACTTAATAACTTTCTAATAAGATGTATATATATATATATGTTATATATATATGAATACGATAATCAAAAATCTTAAAAAATACATAATTAATATATTAATTTATTCCATTGCTGACCGTAGACAAATTGTGTAACCGATAGGCATAGGCTTAACGTGCATGACACAGTTACGAGTAATGGCAACATATTTTATTATTTAAATATTGATGATATCAAAAATCTTAAAAATACATAATTAATATATTAATTAATTCCATTGCTGACCGTAGACAAATTGTGTAACCGATAGGCATAGGCGTAACATGCATGACACAGTTACGAGTAATGGCAACATATTTTATTATTTAAATATTGATGATATTATTGTACTATAAAATTCGATTCTAAACAAATTAAACAAGCTTGAATTTAATAAGTCTAATCCGAATAATAAAAGGAAATTCTACTAAGACCCACTTACTAGAAAGTGTTTTTAACATGGGTTGATAATTTAACTACACAGTTCCGTGGGTGTCGTAAGAAGCGACAGCGGGAAGCGGCCGGTGAGATGGGCAGCAGCATTTCCTAATAACATCTAAAAGAATTAAAAAAAACACTGCTGATACGCCTGCCAAGCGTGGCAAATATGGCAAATATCTACCCTATGAGACAATCTATGGGGGAGGGATAACTTCAGCAGTGGATTTAATAGGCTGTAACAGCAATATGTTGTCTATACGTGGTAGAGCCAGCTATAATTATGGTTGTAGCACGAATGGCTCGGCTCGACCGGGGTAAGACCACGCTCTCACAGAATACCAGCGTAAAATAGCAGCTTAATGCTGTTGTGTTTCGTATACAATTTATCGAGAGGATAAATTGTACATGTCTATGGACCACAGCATCCACTTACCATCCGGTGAACTGTGTGCTTGTTTGTCACTCATATTCTATAAAAAAAATATACTCAAATACAAACCTGCGTACGAGGAATATAAAGGGGTGCGCCATTTTTAAGTGTTTCATTTCCAAGGCGGCTGAGGCGTCCCACCGGCCGGTCCCACGGTGGTTGCTCTTCGCTTCCCTCGCCCTCTGAACAATCGTAAAACTCGTCATCCGAAGAATTTCCACCAACGCCGCCATTCCTTTGTAAGATTCGCTGAATACAACAGTTGAGTAGTTGTAGTTTTTGATGTAGGAGACAAGTTCGTGCGTTAGGTGGGCCTTCGGCTACACTGTAAGAAAATAACGCGTCACGTAATATATCTGCTTGATAAAATACTTTTTGTTAGATATATACATATTTCGTTGAATTTAATATGGACCATGAGATCTCAGTGGGCTCTCTCTTTAAATGGCATTAACACGAGTAACCCGAGTCCATTCCAACACTATGTTTTTTTAATTGCATTTTAAGTTCTGATTTAGCATTTGCTCTGCAGTGAAAAAAAGAACAGTAAAATGTAGGTAGTATATTATGAAGGCATGTGAAATTCACCACCACGTCTAAGAAAACAGTAAAAGAATAATTTAAACTCTTTATTCATTTAATAACAACTGTTACTTATAGACCAGCATTTTAACTTTCACTTGAAGGCAATTATAGGAAGACAAATGCGCGACCTCGAAAAGAAAGCAAATAAATCAAAAGAGCGCATAGCAAAAAGCGCACAATATGAGAATCGTTTTCTCTTTCGTGTATGCAAATTTTGCAGCTTCCAAGACAACTCATCGGAAATTGAATTCCACTGGAGGCGTGTGCACTTTCAAAAAGGCTTTGAACACACGGTAGGCACCTGCTTACAACGTCCGAAATATCTCGTCTCGTTTCTGTGCCGTGACCTACAATCGGTGGGAGTCAAGTTAAATGCGCGAACGCTATATGTACCGTTATGATTATTGAATTACAAATGAGCCGGCAGACGGACAGGAGGCGAACGTCGACGTGCCTATTTTTTCATCTTGCTTAGTGTCTAATCGGTCGGTGAACCGTTTGTTTACCGGAGCCGGTGCAAGTACCTACAGAGAGTGCCGGTGTAGGTCAGGAGATGCTGGTGGGGCAGCGCCGGCGCACAGTACGATGCGCGTGCTTACGAGAACCGCAAGCACATCAGACATGTAGCTTTACACAACGAACGAAGGAAAACTGTTCCATTAATTCGCGCCAAAACAGTGACCCTTTAATTAGTGACTTAACGATGAAATACAGATATTCGTGTTAGATAATACAATATATGTGACAGTGCATTTCTAAAGTGAATTATCACACAGGATTTTCCCGTCTAGACATTTTTCCGGTAAATACACAATGGTAAGATATTTTTACATTATATTTCTTTTTGCTGTTCGACATCGTAAAAAAATCTCTCCGCTTACAATGACCCACTTACAAGAGACATCATTAAATACCAGCACGAAATATTAGTAATTTCTGTAAATATGAGTAACACTCGCACTCGTACATTGTACGAACCGCATTGTTACAATTAATACATATTACGTAGACATGCTTAAAGTAAAAAAAATATTATTAATATTTATACGTACATAAACTTAAATAAATTCAAAAGGCGCATATTGGTGCATTGTTACAGAAGCATGCTGGATAATCTTCTTAAAATATTTAAATAAAAGAATTGCCTTTACGAACTATTCGCTACATCAAATAGTTTCCTTTAAAAGTTTGTTTATTTGGCAAAGTATCATTGTACTTGGGCTTAATGGGGTGTTTGCGAAGGTCTGCGACAATAAGACGCTCGGGGACAATCGCTTGGCTTCGCTTCACATAAACTCAGTTCCTAAATCAGAACTGAGTTTTATCTTTGAGCAAATGTTATAATATGTGGCTCTTATCCATACTGTCTATATAATAATACGCGCAGAGAATTTTTTGTAATCCTTTTTAAGTATATTGCGTGCACGGAAGTATATTGCCAAGCGGGTTGGCAACCGCAGTTTTTTTACTTTTAGTCGTTATTAGGAATACGCTACTGCCCATCTGTTTCCCGCTGTCGCCTCTTACGGCACCCACGGGATGATATGGGGTAGTGGATATTCTTATACTGCCACTACATTAAATTAAATATTCCTTCTTTACGTTCATACTGCCAGTGTCAAACCCATAATAGTATGTAGTTAAACAGACGCACAGAGCATTTTTATAGGACAAGGGTGACAAGCGAACACACAGTCCACCTGATGGTAAGTGGTTGCTGTGGCCCATAGACATCTACATCTATCCTCGATTACGAATCAAAATGCAGATGCGTTGTCACCCCTGAAGACTAAGATGTAATCAATCGTATCCAGTAAAAAGGGTCTCCGGATCTCTACACTTACCATACGAAACACAACAGCGTTACGCTGCTATTTTACGCTGGTATTCTGTGAGAGCGTGTGCAGCATGGCTCTAGTAAATATTGCTGCCAAAGAATTTTAAAATGTTGGGAACAAAAATTATTGACTCACTGAATGAGCTGTAAATTTTGTATGATTTTCAATAGTTTGTGGAGTGTATGTCAATGCAAAAAGCGTTTATCTTATATTATGAATATTAGATATCAAACTTTAAAAAAAAATTATAAATGAGGGTCGCAATTTCGGCCACTGGACGACCACTAGTGGTTTTAATAATGTAAATAATACGTGTAGTGGCGGTGCAGGAATATCCACTACACATATATACACAGGAGTCTCTTAGAGATAAATTTAAAGAAATTAATATATTAACTTTGGCCTCTCAGTATATTTACGAAAATTTAATGTATGTTCACAAAAACAAAGATAGTTTTAGTAAAAAAAGTGATATACATTCTGTAAACACTAGGAACAAACACAAGCTAGTGATGCCAGTTTCTCGACTCCACAGAGTCAGTAATTCATTCTTGGGGCAATGTATATGCTATTACAACAAGGTTCCGGAAAGTGTACAGGTTCTCTCTATTACCAAGTTTAAATGTTTTATTAAGCTGAAACTGTATAAAAATATTATAGTATAAATGGTTGATAATAACCCCTGGGAATGAGGTTGTCGCTTCCAAGCAGTTTCTAAAATAAATTTTGTAAATAGTTCGTAATCATTTATATTGTAAAATTTATTTTTAAAAAAAGTCCCGCTGGGTTTCTTGCTGGTTCTTCCCAGGACAGAGGGTTTTTTTTCGAACCAGTGGTAAAGTAAAAAATGACTTTTAATAAGAATTACACATGTAATGTATATTGAATAAAAAATATTCTATTCTATTCTCCACTACCCCATATCGACCCGTGCGTGTCGTAAGAGGCGACAGAGGTAAACTAAAACGAAAGATTGGCAGCAGCATCTTCCTGATAACAGCTCAAAATATTTAAAAAAAATTGTTGCCAACCCCGCCTGCCAAGCGTGGCAACTATGACAAAATTCTCAGTACGCGACAATGTATGGGGGAGCCCTAAGTTCCGCAGTCGATTTTTATAGACTGTAATGGATATAATACCACGATATAATGTCACAAATGAGTGAAACAAACAAAAAATTTCTTTCGTGTCTTTTGGAGTCAGTTTTCCTTCTTTTTTTGACATACTTCAAAAAAGGAGGTACTCAATTCGACTGTATTTTCTTTATGTGTGTTAGGTACCTCAGAACTTTTTTCTATGTGAACCGATTTTGATGATTCTTTTTTTATTTGAAAGCTGGTACTTTTGATATGGCCCATATAAATTTGATCAATTTCTAACCAGTTTATGTAGTTTTTGAGTTATCCTTAATAATGCGTATTTAATTGACTTCCGACTACATTGATGATGTTCTCATTTTATTTATATTGAAGTCGGTTGACAACATTTTTAATTTTACCACTAGTTACTAGTGTTTTAGTTTCCTTTGTCCATCCTTTACCCTTCTAACTTATATAACTCTCATTTCCTTTAATTGTTGATCGAGTTTTACGACTCTCAAATAGTAAAATTAGTATGCCAAGCACAATGATAAATTTTTCAAAAATTTCTTTTTTTTTTTTTTAGATATTATACTCCTAAACGCCTCGCAGCCTTTCAATGTACGCAAATTATAGCTAAATAGGACAACAAAATATAACAACTAAAAACATCTTAATCGGACTCTGGATACGCAGCCTGAAAGACAACTGGATTACAGCACTACATTTTAGAAATTAGGGGAGAGTACATACTCCTCAACACTCGCAATGCCACAAGTGCAACAAATAAAACTCTTTGAAAATACTTTTACGACAAAATTTCTAACAGACTATTGAAATCATTTTTATGTATTTATACTACATAATATGTATAAATTTTATATTATACTGGGTGGCGATTAGGTTATCACATTAAATAACACAGCGGTATATATACAAGTTCATATATGTCGATTAAAATAAGAAAATAAACTATTCTACCAAAAATAAAAAATGCATCTTTCAAACAAAATAAATAGCGTAAAAACTGACACGAAATAAATCACCTTGATAATATTAGTGTACCGACCAGAAGTGACATGTAAAAGCAGCAACGGTGAGGAAGGTGCGCAGTGCTCACGCTGCATCGACATAGGTAATTATTTACCTACATTTTCCCGTTCATAAGTAATTAGGCAAAAACCGTAAAAAGGGCTATTGCGAATAGAATGTTAATTGTAATATATTTTTTTAGTTGTGTATCTTCAAAGAACGTTACATAGGATAAGTCTCTTCATTTAATGTGATAACTTTATCGCCACCCCGTATATTGGAAAAGCTTTGCGCTTGCCGAAATTTTTCCTGGCCTCCAGGGTAACTGGTAGAAAACGCCACAACATAACATTTAGTTATACTACACAACGTTTTAGTAACACTTGAGGATAAAAGAACAAATAATCATAATCAAATACATCTAAGGAACATCAACACCTAATTACAGTTAAATCACCTGCACAACAAACCATACTGACGCTAAAAACGTTATCATACATTGAGAATTCCAAAGATATACATAGGTACGGACGTATGTCTCATAATGCCGTTTCTAGTGTATACGCCAGTTTACAAATTCATAACGTGCGGAGGAGCTACTGTCACACAACCCGTCTCCATAATTCATAGAGTGAAAACTTTATGGAAACGATGATTCCGGGAGACTGATAATGATGAATGCGTAAGGAGCAATAGTATTAGATACTCTACAAATACAATGAGAATAAATAAAATTACAATCAATCACTAAAACTTATAGATGTAGTCATAATTATATCTTCTAACCAAATTTGTTTCACTTATCTCTCAAATATAAACTCAGACCACCAAAAGACACCTTGCTCAATTTCTTGGCGCGCACTCACACTCACATTATTTCTTTGTTTCTTTCTTTAACAGACTACAAAAATACATTGGTGGACGCACCCATTTGCACCTAAAACCATGTTGATGGGTGCAAATTATTTCAGATAGATGTTTGCGTGAGTGCATGTTCATACAATAAGTTGAGCACGGTTTTGGTTTCGTGTCGGCGTCACTTGAAAGTGTACGTAGCGCTCCGTCTATCTTGTTTTGTGAGTCAGTATATAAATGAATTATTCGATATTAGAAATGATATTAATATTGGTGCCTAATGATACTAATAGTTACTAAAGTAACGAAACACGTTATATGTTTTTCAGTATAACAAACTATATCAACATTTGATACTATGATAGCGTGAGCGTTCACCTTCACTTCTAGATGGACCTGTTTAGGCGAAAGCGCGAAACGGCAATAATCACCGGAAATTTGATCACACGTCATCAATTAATATATCTTTTTGCATGGAGCAATTTCATCTTAGTCACTCACAAGTGAGCAAAAACACACTCGAACTCGACACAATAGCATAGAATATATACTATATAGGAAGAATAACTGTAAAAGATTCCAAACAAAGAAAACAACAAAGAATGCGTGTGCGGTAAGATTGTGTATTTGAATAATTTGTCTAAGCCCGAGATTTAATATTCCGTTACTAATCAATAATTATTATATTGCATGCTCGAATCTAGAAAAATAAATAACCTGCCCATTTCCCCCATGAAGGTAAATCATTTTTAAAGCTAAATAGAATATATTTATTGTAATGATTTGAGGTAATTCGTATTTATTATTTTAAAAAAAGAACTGATTTACATAAAATATATAATGCAATGTAGCACACCCTTTAAAAAGAAGTACGAACATTATCAAGTTCATGCTAAGCGAATCTGAAACTTTCACTAGGTCTTTGCGAATGTAAACAGGCAAACTGGTTTTACAATAAAAGCCATTTAGTGGAGCTAAGACAAATACAGCAGGAGAAACCATTGTCTAGTTC